GAGTTTCTGTATTGCTCTGTGGTCCAGATTTATCAAGCATAATGGGATTTTTTTTTTCAGGAGTGATAGCTAAGAGTGTGCCAGCCTTTTATTATTTGATCCTGTTTCGGTTTGTGGCATGTGATTTGCTCTTATAATTATATCCATATAATGATACATAGTATTATACAACACACTATAGTAAAGTCAGTTTCCAAATCCACAAACCCATTCCCCCCAAAGTTTCTGTTATCCACACTGGATTAAATTGTCCATTATCATCAAACAGCCTCTGTGGAGGTGGTCTCAAAATTAATCACATTTTTAAATTAATTTTTAGTAGGAAACATCTAACCATTCCTGAGAACTTGAGGATGTGATTTTTTTCCATTAAGTTTTGCTCATTATACAGATTTCACAAAGACTCCAAGGTCAATACTCTGATTTTCCTGTTGTGATTCCTTTTCTTTTCTTTTTTTCCTCACATTTAGCATAATTCTGCTGGTTATTTTATTTGAAGGTGGTCAAATGAACTTCAAGATTATGCAAATTAGATAATACAGTCTAATATCTCTCTCTACCTGCTTATCTGTCTATATGCTAGAGTCCCACTAATGTGCTTAATGCATTGGATTAAAGGCCATGGGTTTCCTAGAAGATTATGTCCTAGATAAATACTGTTTGACTTCGTGACATAAAAATAAGCCACTGACCTATAAGAACGCCATTCTTTTAATATTTGCCAAGTAATGCAGCGTTTGTTAAGCAAGGTTTTCCTCTTAGGAGTAGGTTAACATATATTCCAATTTTTAGCTTATGCTGAGTAAGAGAAAAACAGCTAACTATATTTCTGTTTGCTTATTAAGTCTTACTTATTAGGAATGTTGTAGTAATATTCCTACAATAGGAATATTGTTACTTATTAGGAATATTGTAGGGATAGTCCTACAATAGCATTATTCCTAATTTTACACCACTGTGCCTTTGCCTGTGCAACTTCTTCTGCCTGGTGTGTCCTTTCCTGCATCACTTGTAA